GTCAAGAAAGTGCACAGAGGCAAATTAGTCATTTGCTGACGCGACTCACTCAATGATTGAGCAACAAAGCCCTTTAATTTCTATCAGGTTGCGTTAAAGATGAGCATATCTTCGGGTTTTGGTTTCACAGGTCATGGGCTGTCTCAGCTGGGACCTACTAGACACACAGATTTTTAAGAGTCTGACAAGAATTTGACACAACTACAGGGTTCTAAAACACGAGATATGTTCTCTCGTCAAACTGTGAATTTAAATTATTAATTATTGAATTTTTACTTTTGACGTTACGTTTTATATTCACATTTTAACAACATAAGTATTCGACGTCGGTCTACAAAAATCTAATAAGAAAACATTACTCGATATGATATTATATAGGAATGGGGACATGTCAACCCCACTTGGCTTGGCTAACCTAAGCGAAAGGAATTATAATAGGTGCTACAAATTGTTGTGTGTATGAGTGAAGGCACGGTCCAGTGGATTTATGACTTATTATGAGTGGCCATTATCTTGGGTACAAGGTAAAAATGTCCTTCACGAATCATAGCTCCATATAAGGACCATAAAGACAACGACTTATCCTGTTGGGGGCCAACTAAAACCATTTTCATTGCCTCAAAGTCTTCAAGGGCTGACAAAATCCTACTTGGTGTGCCTAAAATCTGAATTAAGCCAATGAAAGAAGGCGATGTAACATGATCGTCCGCAGGGCACCATGTGAAGTAAAGCTGATGTACAAGTTTATGCCCCAGTGACTTAAAAGCATTAACATTATATTGCGGATTGTGCATATCTCTATTATTATAAAATCCGGCCAAAAGTGTCACAAATTTCACTAAAAATCAATCCATCACAAGTACCCCTTAAAATGAAAAAACAACGACATCTCGCCGGCAAAACTAAAAGTAAAAATCATCACACTGCCTAAAAGTTTAAATATAAAATTGAGAAAGAAGAAATAAAAACAAAGAGATAATTTGTTTTTCTCTTTCCTGACTGATTCATGCAATTTAAAAGAAGTGGTTCTGTTTATGTGGATGCCGGCAACACTAGGCAAAGACCCAAATAATAGGGATCCAAAGGAAGAGGACAACTTCCAAAACGTGACAAGTGTCAGCCTGCTAGCTTGGTAAAAAACAAGAGTATGCAGACAGTACATTATACTTATCTGGAATAGCTTCAAACCAAGGCAAGCTGTGTCTAATATGGAATATCTAAATGTTCAATTTGGTTATGCATATATAGATATTATTGTAGAAATAACCGCATACACAGACAAAATGGCCTTCGACTATATACAGTCTAAAAATATACGTATTTACTCTTATTAATATATAAGAATATAACGCGACGAGAAAATAAAATAAAATAAAAACCTTCGTGGAAGTAATTTTTCTTCAACGGATGTTGCTGATCCGTGAGTTAGACACTTATCAGCTTACATCTCTTGGAAGAAAATTATACAAGATGTGGAAAATCCCCCTCTTTATTCAGGTCAAAGAATTCTTGATTATGATGGAGTTATGGGGTCTTTTGTCCAACCAGCTTGCAAAGAGCCACCAACTACTATAATATTCTAAAGGATTATTGTGATTTTCAGAAAACGATGGCAGCTTAATCTTCTAATTCATAGTCAATTATTCCGGTTTTGAGAGTATGTCACATATTTTATTCCTAAACTAACCCATTCTGCCATTTGACCATTTGTTTTAATTATAATGTTTCTCAATATTCTGGTATTTCTATTCAACCCCTCAACAATGCGTCACACATGAATAATATGAAATAAATTATGCTTATCTACCAGCTGTGATTGGACTACTGTCTAGAAGCATGAATTCAATTGACTAATCAAAAGAGGGCAAACCTAAGCCAATATTAGATGTGGTACGATTAGGTGTACATGCAATTTCTGACCGTAAATGTATGTGAAGTCTATAATAAATCAATGGTCGGAATTCACTGTCGTATACGGGACAACCTTGGATGGCGATGTCTTTGACTAATGGCCAAGATTCTTTGAAGTAATAAGGACAATGCAGTATTCTATGGAGTATTAAAAATGGAAATGAGTACTTAGTACTAACTCCACGCATGGGAGTTGAATGGTTTAACTTAAAGAAAATGACTGGTGGTTTGGCCATATCTCTATACCTAGGGCTTAATGGGACATGATGTTTAATCAAAGTGCTTTGACTAATGGAACCCTAAAGCTTTTTGTTGGAGTGGGCTGAGCTGCTCGTTACATGAAATTAAAAGCTCATTGTGAATTTTTTACACTTCTTCTTGTCTCCCACAATATCGTATATATCAAATCCACAGTAAATATATTCCGCTGCCGGCTGTGTGGAATGTATGGATTATACTTGAGTCGGTCAAGAATAGAAGAGTATTATACCATTGTTATAATTCTCTGGCCGAACAAAATATTATAAATTCTAAAGACAGAAAAATCCTTTAAATACCACTAGAAATTTTGAATTTTGATGGTTGAATTCAAAGTTGTATAAAAATGTGGCCTTTTATATGACTTGATTATGAGTCGATGATAATGAGTCCGTTCATTCCGTGCAAGTAACACATTAGGAAGTCACAAATAACCTTTTTTTTTTAATACATATAAGTTTCTAAACGACATATGCTTAATAAATTTGCTTCATGCTAAATAGGTCTCGTCCAGTAGAAAGGGTATTGATTTGCATACCAGTGTGGTCTCAGGTTTAAACTCTCATAACATTTTGGCAGTGTGTGTGTGTGAAAAACCTTCATCCCCTTGTGATTTAGACTATCGCTTGTATTAAGAAACTTTATAACCACCACAACATTTTTGTTCTATGTAAATACACATCATATTTTGTTAGGCTTAAGTACATTAATTAAGGGGAAAAAAGCACATAAATAAAGGCTAGCAAAAAAGAGGCACATATTTTTTGGCTGAAATACAAAAGAAAAAGTACATTAATAAAGGGATTTTATTAACACATTCCTCCTCTCAAATTTTATTCATAGAGGAATTTTATGATTTTTTTGCTAAGCAATTTTATAATTCGTGGTGATCAATTTAGAATAATATCCTAACTAATTAATTATTGTCATGCTTCTTTATATTAATTTGAAAAAAGAGGATTATGAATATGCTGGCCAAAGAGACACATAGTGGACATGAAAAATGTTTGACAAAAAGAAAAAGAAAAATGAGAACAGTATATCCGGACTCATAAAGGAAGTATCAATTCATCTTGGTTAACTTAGAAATTTAAATGAAGTTTTTTTAAAAAATTTGTTTATAAATTTATGCAACAACGATAGTAATTTATTAATGAGGAAAAGGAGTAACAAGTACAAAAACCAGATCATGTCCTAGAGAATTAGGTAAGTACTTTACACCAAACGAAGCGTAATGATCGTCGATAAAAATTGTACAACTTAATAGTTAGCATCTTCAACTGATTGCGATGTAGACATTTAACAGCTAGAAATAACATTTCACATTACTGCAACCGACGTGTCAAAGCTGATATGGAATGAAGGCTGAAAGTTGAGATATTATTTTTGACATCTCAAAAGCAAGATGTCAAATGAATATATTATTATTTTTATTATTTTCTTTTCTTTTTAATTAAAAATAAATTAATACTAAAATGTAATAAAATAATAATTTAATTTAACATATCGGGTGGAGTGTAAAGCTGTATAAAATGTCAAATTGCCACATCAACCATCAAATTTAAATTTAATGTTTGATATTTGACATCTCCCTTGGAGATGCTCTAGGAATTGGTTTGATTTAAACAAAAACAATTAGGAATTGAATATGGGCAGGAGAATTATAATGACTTCATCCATACACTACTTTCATTCACTTGCGCCTCCATTTTAGGTCGGAATCGGTTCATTATTGCTACTCAAGGATCTATTTGAGATAATGAAATTCAAATTTCCCACATCACATTATCTTTGAATAAATGAGTTACAAAAAACAGAAAGCGCTATATTTGCAAATAAAAAACATGACGAAACTTCATATCTTATTTATGTTGAACATATGTTATTAAGTTTGTTTCTCGAAAAGCATGACGAAAATTCATATGTTATTTTCTTGCTTCTCGAAAATATAGCCAAGTTCTACTTGTTCATTTGTGCAATAAAAATAGTAAATCTTTCGTATGATTGTTCTAATTTTCTATCTTGTTGCTAATCAATGTTGATGGAATTTGAACTACAATGTGGATTTATTGAGTTGAAATGCCATCAACATGCACTGACTACTCTAATAAAATCTAAATTTTAAGAGATCGATAATTCTAAATAGGCAACGCAACAATGAAATTTTTTCGAGAAACAAGCGAACACAATAACATATGGAATTTTTTCATGCTTCCATCCAAGAAGCAAACTGAATAACATATGTTCAACATAAATAGCTGATATACAAGATAAACAAGAAGTGGCAATTGCATCCAGTTGAATTTATGTTTTATGGTCAAATGATAAAAAGTCAAAATTACAACAATACAATCGTTTTCTTCTTTCAACCTAGAAAACTAATCACATGGAGAAAGAAAAAGACCATTATACCTCTTTGACATATCTCAATCAAGATCTCGACCCATACAAAAAACAACAGTTAATTTTCCAAATTTTGAAAAGGTAAAGTTCTCTTATTTTGGATATTTTATCCAAAAATTATTGAGAGTTATTAGGTATGGTATAGATTGTATTACGCTTCTTTGTAATTTAGTTTTACAAGAAAATAAAATATTTTTATTTTATGTATCTATGTATATATATATATTTTTTAAACTCTAACTCGAACTCACGATTTAATTACTTCAAACCACTACACGATCTTTATATGTGCATACCTTTGTGGAAGAAGTTAAATAAAGAAAAGGCTGCTGTGGAGCCTCTCTGACCACTCTAATCCCACCCAACCCATCCACCCATTAAAGGACAATTCAACCCAAAAACCCATTTCTCTCCTTTCAATTTTCTTCACGGTCCCTATAAAAACAATTTCTCTCTAACCTTCAACACTTATTGCCTCTTTATTATTCCATTTCTTGTTGTTGAGCACGAAACCACCACAACATGACAACACCTCCACACTCCATAGCTTATATCATGGGCGTGGCTCACAGCTTCTTCAAGATCTAGAAGCAAAAGTTTGGATCTTTAAAAAAAAAGTGAGTCAGAAAAACCAAAAGAAAATGGGAAGCAAATGGAGGAAAGCCAAGCTTGCTCTTGGGTTGAATACTTGTCTTTATGTTCCTCAAACTAGAGAAACCGGAGAGGAATCGTCTCCCTCTTCAAACGACGTCGCTGCATCTAGGTTCTCCGACGCCGTTTCGTCCTCCTCTATGATTTCTCCGACTGGTCTTGGCTCTGATTGCCGACCCACCACGCCCACCCCGTCCTCTTCGGGCCTCCGGTTGCCCAAAACTGGCACCAAGTCCTCCAAGGTTTGGTTTGTCATTTTTATGATTAAAACCCATTTGCATGTTGAGCTTTTGGCTATTGAAATTTTTTGCCATTTATGCTAGACTTTGCAAAAATTGTTTGATTTTGTGCAATTTTTTCTTATTGGGTTGATTTATTGTTATTTGTTGTGTCATTTGGCGTCTAAAATTTCTCTGCTATTTGGTGGATATCCATGGTAGATTCTTTGTGAAACAGTGAAAGAATGCAAATAACATCTTTTTCTTTGAACAGTAATTTTATTTTTTTTTCATGCACTGTACAACGGTATAAGTAACATTATTGTGATATTATTATCATAATTTACTGGTGATAGATACCAACTCTTAATCAATCTTGGCAGATTTTGATTTTTGTTTTTGTTTTGGAGCTCTCTTTGTCTATCTGTTAATGTAGGGTAGATGATGTTGGTGGTGTAGGTGGGGTGGGGGGTGATGTGATAATGTGATGTATGTTTATTTTGTGAGTATGGCTATTGGTTGTCAGGTTGTTTTCAGCTAGCTATGTGAAGAGCTTATGGTTGTGGGGATAGAGAAAGTGGACTAGCCAGCCCCTTTAAGGACCATTATCCTTTGGATTATTTGTAAAGGAATACACTTCACTGTACCTTTCCTTTCCTCCAAGGGAAAGTGCTTTGTCTGGTCAGCACCAAGTGCACTATTCCACAAACACACACACCCCCATACACCTCTCTCTCTCTCTCTCTCTCTCTCTCTCTCTCTCTCTCTCATGTTAGTTCTGGAAAAAGATTGTGGACCATTGATTTATGAGCTTTCCTGCAATGAGCATCAACAAAAGAAACAAAGGAGCATTGAAGAGGGAATTAAGACATGGATGTCTTAGAGCAATTCATCATTCTTCTTTTGATGAGCTTCAAGTTTTTTTCTTTTTCATGAAATTTTTCTTTCCATCTTGAAAGGTTCCATCGTTAGTCTGCAAGTTGCTTTATTATTCTTACTTTTAAAAAGTCATCCCGTTGATTGATGTAAATTTCCCATTATGTCCTCCACAATGTTTTTGACCATTTCTCATGGACTTCTTTCTTTTGTTGGCCAGCTGATTTACTAGGGACGCTTTAATCATACTTAATTAATTGTATAAAAGGAATCTCGAAATTGGCAACTGTAGTGTACTGTAGATACGGTGCAATCTATTTCATCTTTTTATGCACTAGTCACACAAGTGGAGCTGCATGGTTAAAGAAGTGTCAGCTTAAATTCTACAGTGTTGTAGTGACCCTTCGAAATCTTCGCATGTATCAAAGAGCCCTGAATATTATAAGCCAGTGGTCAGATTCTCTAAATTAAAGGGTTGTATTTGGATACAAGTCCCCAAATGCAAATCTACATTTAGGGAGACTTTGAAAATGCTGGTTTTAATTTTGTTCAAGTATAAATAGAGTTTTTTGAATTAAAGCTGGGAGGGTACTATTTTTAAAATCCAGGGGACCTTAAAACTACGAAGTCATGTCCCAAGACCAAATCTAGATGTTAAAATGCGTGCTTATTATATTATTATTATTTGATAGGAGAAATGCCTGCTCATTGTAGAGACAGACGTGGACTTGCATGCATAATTCTTGTAATCCATAGTACTCATTCATTAATTAATGGTATTTAAATTACTATCTTCATAGCTCACATTGGTAGCTCTAGAAGTTTTTTGATAGTTGCAGGTTATCAAACTCATGACGGAAGATAGATGATTATGTTTAAATAAATTTGATAAAAAGTTAAATCATCAATTTTGATGTGTCAAATCAAATGTTTTCTTTTTAAGTTTTAAGAATTGTAGAAGAAAGTCTTTTCAGCAAGTGATTGACTCTAAATGAGTAGTCCTGCGTGAATTTTATGCTATAACCATATGATAAGTGGAGTTCTTAAATAAGGGTGCTTGAACATACATTTTCCAGAGGTATATTTGTTATTGAAGTTACTTTTCAGTTACAGTGAATTGGAGAGAGGGTAATCAATTGTAAGTTTCTTGAGTAGAAAGCTTTATGAAGCATGGTACTTAGAAAGAAACATCATCAATGTGCTCAAGTATTTTTTAAGCCAATTCAGTGAAACCCTAGTTTGCTAATGCTAATGTCTTTGTGTTGTCGTTTTATTTTTCATAAGTGTTTTAAATGAGATGTCAATGAGACAGTTAAATAGAGTTGGTATTTAGAATTTATGTTAGACTTCTTCTCTAATATTAGGGTTATATGAAGTGCTTGTAGTTAATTTAAGGATTACTTTGGTTAATGGAGGTGCTTCCATGACTTTACTATCTTGTTTGTGTGTGCCTAAAATATTTGACATTTGTATCTGAATTTGGTACTGTTACCAACCTACGTTGTTCTAACCAGTTTGTCCTTGACTGCAGAGAACGTGCGCAATATGCTTGACCACCATGAAAACAGGACAGGTTACTTCTAATGTAAAACATGGAAACCAAGTTTGTCCAGTTTGCAGAGCAAAGTGGAAAGAAATCCCCTTTCAGAGCCCTGCTTCTGATCTTTCACGTGGTATTTCAAGAATTAACCCTGTTGGTTGGCCCCAAGATGATGCATGGATGACTGTTTTACGACAAATTCCTCCCCCACGCATAGATGCAAATCGGCCAATTTCATCACTCTTTCACACTCCTGAACCGGTTATCTTTGATGATGATGAAAGCTTAGATCACCAACCTGAGGTTTCTAAGAAAAGTGCATCCGTTGAGGATTCTTGTGATAACAATTCCATTGGAATGATAGAGGTCAAAACATTTCCTGAAGTTCTGGCAGTTCAAAGATCAGCCTCTCATGATAACTTCACTGTTCTAATCCATCTTAAGGCTCCTCTTACAAGTGGAAGACATAATAGCAGCAGAAACCAGACACTGCTGCCAGTATTTGAAAATTCCCGTGTTCCAGTAGATCTTGTGACAGTGCTTGATGTCAGTGGCAGCATGGCAGGTACGAAGCTTGCTTTGCTGAAACGAGCCATGGGATTTGTGGTACAGAACCTTGGTCCCTCTGACCGGCTCTCTGTCATTGCCTTCTCCTCTACAGCCCGCCGGCTTTTCCCCCTTCGTCGGATGACTGAAACTGGACGGCAACAGGCATTGCAGGCTGTAAATTCTCTGGTTTCGAATGGTGGGACAAACATTGCCGAGGCTCTTAGGAAAGGTACCAAGGTGTTAGTAGACCGCAAGTGGAAAAACCCAGTTTGCAGTATCATACTACTATCTGATGGGCAGGATACATACACTGTCACTAGTCCTGGTGGGGTCCATCCCCGAACAGATTACCAATTACTTCTCCCAGTCTCTATCCGTCGCAATAATGGAGCAGGCTTGCAGATTCCAGTTCACGCATTTGGATTTGGTGCAGATCATGATGCTGCCTCAATGCATTCAATCTCTGAGATTTCTGGAGGAACATTTTCTTTCATAGAAGCTGAGGGTGTGATTCAGGATGCATTTGCACAGTGTATTGGGGGCCTTTTGAGTGTGGTAGTGCAAGAGCTGCTGGTCAGAATCGAGTGTGTTCACTCGAGTTTACAACTGGGTTCAATTAAAGCAGGGAGTTACAGAACCAGCATGATGGCTGATGCAAGAATGGGTTCTGTTTCCGTTGGGGACCTGTATGCTGAAGAAGAAAGGGATTTTTTGGTGACAATCAATATTCCAGTTGATGCGTCCAGTTATGAGATGTCGCTGGTAAAGGTTAGCTGTGTTTACAGAGACCCCATTACAAAAGAAATGGTGAATTTGGAAGAAGCCAGTGAAGTCATGATCCAAAGGCCTGAAGTGGTAGGACAATTAATAGTGTCAATGGAAGTAGACAGGCAGCGGAATAGACTTCATGCAGCAGAAGCAATGTCTGAGGCTAGAGTTGCAGCTGAGAATGGTGATTTGGTTGGTGCAGTCTCTGTCCTGGAGAGCTGTCGTAGGACATTGTCTGAAAGTGCCTCTGCACGAGCTGGTGACCGCCTTTGTGCTTCACTTTCTGCTGAGTTAAAGGAGATGCAAGAAAGGATGGGAAACCGCCGTGCATACGAGGAATCGGGAAGGGCTTATGTTTTATCAGGATTGAGCTCACACTCATGGCAGAGGGCAACTGCGCGAGGTGATTCTACAGATAGCACCAGCCTAGTTCAATCTTACCAAACCCCGTCGATGATTGACATGGTGACACGGTCTCAGACCATGTTATTAGGGAACCCATCGCCTCGACGAACCCTCAGCACTACTCAGTCATTTCCCGCCAAATCACAGCCACGTTAATCATCAAAAGTGGCAGTCTCCTCACCCTACATATTTTCTTCATTAATGGACCTTTTTGTTTCTCTCTTAATATTCTTCTTTTTGTGGTTTTGGGGAGTTGGGATAACTGGGATACAGAGGAATTTTGGGTGTTTTAACTAGGGGGAGTATATTTGGTTGTTTTGTCATGTACATTAATAAGAATTGGGTAAATGGGGATGAGAACAATTGTGAACAAGAGGTGTTGGGAGTTAGGATCTATATATTGTGATTTTGGGTGATGTACATGTAGGAGGGGGTTTTCTTTTGTTTTTTTGTTTTATTTTTTCCAATTCTGAGAAGAGAAGGGGGGGGTATAGCCTTTGTAATTGTGGGGATACTTGGGGTGAATTATTCACTTGAATATATGATATGGTATTCTACTCCTGATTCTTTTCACTAGTTATCATTGGACAAAGGAGCAAAAAAGTACTAGGATTAATTTTCATAAAAGTTGACTAAGTTGCAACATACTATCTCCATGCATGCAATATACTAATACGAACTGAACTTATGTTATGATTTTATAACATGTACAAGGAAACTTTATCTCTTTAGCAATTATTCAGTCTAAATTACCCGAAAACTACTCTAATTTTTGAAGAAGGATTGAATTCGATTGAATTCGAGTAGATTGCCTTGATCAACCGGCCTGACCACAACTCCAAACATGTTTCCCATGGTTGTCATGCATATTGGGGGTGGAGGGTCCGAGTCCTGATGCCCAGTGGTTTTGACAATTCCACCCATACTTGGGGGATCATAGCTTTCTTGGGAATCTGGGCGGTTGGTGAGAAATCCATCACTGCCGCATATCCTTGGAGTGAGCGTGGGCACAATGTCGGGTCAACCCAACCTTTTAAGATTGAGTCCATATGAGTCGGTCCGGCAAACCTGTAGTCCATTCTTTGGACTTTTAGGCTCAGTTTGACCAATGTGCCGGGCCAGTATGCACCCTTATAGTCTTTATCCTTTGGGGCTTTGCTTAAGGTTCGGTTTGTTTAGCCGAGCTGTGGTCTGGAGTGAAAATCCATCTTTCAAGGCTTGGAATTGTGTTCGGTTAAGGTTCGGTTGAGCCGAGCGGTGAAAATCCGTTAAGGTTCGGTTTGTGACTCTTCTGTGAAAATTCAAAATTAAAGTGATTGGTCTAAAAAATAAAGTATTTTCATTATAAAAATATAAACATATAACAAATTCACAATGATATTCTACTTTCCTTTATTTTGTGAACAATATTCTACATCTTTAAAATCATCATTCCGAGATTATAAAATAATAATAAAAAAAAGATATTCATCATTTCGAGGATAAGTACTGGTAAGATCTCAGCCCCACATGGACTGCCACGTAAGACTTGAATTCTTTTCATAGGGAAAAGAAATAAATAACACTATTAGTGGGTCCCACAGAGGACGACCTCGGAAAGCGAGAGGGCGCCACCTCAGCGCTACAGGATCAACTCTCATTATTATGCGTCCCTCTCACCGAAACTCTCACTCTCCCCCCCACTCTCATCTCTTCAGCTGAAGAAGAAGCATTTCGAGCTTCTAACCCACTGAAAATGGAGGCTCTCTCTCTTTCTATCAGAAAATTTCTCCAATATGACTGTTGAAGCTATTGTAAATCGGATCCGAATCGCAGTGAGAAATGCCTAAGCTCAAAAAGCCGTCTCGGTTTTTCAAAAGTGCTTCTTCAGCTGTTGTTCTTTTCTGGCTTCTCTAGCACCGCCGAGGAGACAGCAGAGTCACAGTCTCTCAGAAGCCATATTTGTCGATAAATTCTATTCATTCAAGGTATAATCCGAAATTTCACTTCCCGCGGTTTTTTGGTTGGTTCCCTGCTTTTTTGCTTTTTTATTTTCTTCAGTGCGGATCTGGTAGACTAATTCTAGCTTGCGGCGGAAGAGGAAACCGCTGCTTACTTGGACACTATTGTAGTTAAGGCCATTATCATGGGTACTTTAGTAATTAAGTATATTAGCGATGAACCCATTAATTTTTTTTTTTCTTTTTGTTGAAGTCAATGTCACGTCATTATTAGGTTGCATTGCATCCCATTTTTCCTCCAAAGCTTTGATCTTTTCTAGTTAGGTTACATATATACCAAATCTAGGGAAAATTTCCCACCCCTCATGCTCACTCTCACAATATAACATAGAAATAGAAGATTACCCAACAAATCAAACCCAATTTTTTTGAATTTCATTTGTTTATATTTGAATTTGGAACTTGGTCTGATTTTGATTTAACAAATGAAAAGTTTAAGATGCCCTATGGTAGGGTTGGTGACCAGAATTTTACAAAAGTTTTGGTCTTTGGGAAAAAAAATTTGGTTGGTGAAGAGGCTTTGTAGTATTTCTCAACTGTTGTGTATGTCATACTATCACCCATTCACGGTGTCCTATTAAGCCTGGCTACTGGGCCCACCTCCGACAGCCGACAGATATGTGGGACCCAATGTGACCTCAGAGGTTTGGTTGCTTTACGGACCCAACAATACAATGTATGTCTGATGATCTGTCTTTGAAGCGAAGTCTTTATAAATTTATAACCGTTATTTCCCAAAATGATTAAAAAAGAAAAGTTTTAAAATTTTTAACCGTTGGGTGTCTGAATTTTTGAAAAGTTTAGAAAGTTCAATTATTGAATATTGACCCACGTTTCTATGACACTTAAAAAAGTAAACAGATTTTGGGGTTTCAATCTATAATGTGGATTAGATATAGCTACAGCTGAGGGGTCTCTTTCTGATTTGCAGAAGGGTAGCTCTCAGAGAGGTGGATGATGGGCTTGTTTTGAGCCATTTTCCTTATTTTTTCTGTCACATGGTCCTTTCTGCATTGTCCATTTTCTAGATTCACACCATCATTTCTGATGGGTTTGCGTACATTAGACTTATCCGATATTTGTTATATTGGGTTTGCTAAGCTCTAATTTGCTTACTTATACTCATGTTTAGACTCTGAGGGAGTAGATTAGAGGCATCAGTTTTCACCATTTTGAGTGCTTTGAGCTGGATGCTTGTTACTTTTCACTTTGTACTTTGTTAAAACTCAAGGTCAAGCTCATAGTTTGCGTTCTACTGTTGTTCTTTTCCTTATCAGGTGTGTTGATTGTCCTTAATTTTCTAAGTTTCTGCTTTCTTTCTGTTTAAAAGCAATGTCAGTTTTCTACTTTTTTTTCTTTTGACCAAATAAAGAAGCAATGTGTTGTGTAGTTACTTTGAAGAAAGTATAATCTTGTTTGGGGAGGCAGTTTAAAAGAGCTATTAGTTTAAAATATGACATGTAGGACTGCTAGAAGAAGTACTGCATTGATGATAGATGGGGGCAGTGGGCTCGTTCGTTGGGCCAATTTCTGCTTGGTCCCCAACCGGCAAGCCTTGAATTTTCCGTCTTTGATTTATTTTGATGTAACTATACTGCAGTCACAGCTTTTAATAACTAATGCAATGTGGTTGTCTTAATGGTCATTTATGCATTTATGTTTTTAGTTGTGTATAATTATCAGACTGGGTAAAGCTATTCGTAACTGTGAGTCAGCAATTATTTTGTGGGGTTGTTTAATCCAAAATTTTGTGTTGAAAAACTTGACAATACCCTGAGCTAGTGTAGACGGACTTCATGTTATACTGTTTTATCTTGCTTGAATATAGAGTACAGTAGATTGCAATCAATTGTTAGCTTCAGATTTGTTGGCCAACCATGAATTTAGCCACTCCTACCTGCCATATTTTACCTTTATATGCTTGTCTAACTTTCTATTGTTTTTGTTCAAGATGTTTTGTGCATTTCAGATTTATGAGAATATCATGTCTAAACTCTGGTCTGAGTTTAGTGTTTTTCTCTTCCCTGGAATCTTTTAAAATTATTATTTTTCTAATATGAAGGTTTTGAATCATAGTTGAAATTTTCTAATTGTATAATTTCACATTGTTGTCATCATCTTGGTTTCCTTTCATTCATGGAAAAAAAACTTTAACGAAGTTATTTTAAAATTAGATTAGAAATTTGTTTGAATGTCTATGGTTGTGTTCAAACTTCCAGAGGGTTTCAGACCAATTATCCTGATATATATATATATATATATATATATATATTTCCTGCTTTGGTATATTGAGACTTCTATGCCATTAGATTCTTAACAATATATTGAGTCTTTTGTAAAATACAAAAGTTGTCATAGCTGCTGTTCATATTTACACCATCGTTATGAGAATCATTTTTAGTCGATCCTTACCTGATTGTTCCTTTTATGTCTTCCATCAGCAAGACCTGAAAATGTGTTCTTAGTCTTTATTATTATTTTATTTTACACGTGATTTTCATTTTTGTAATGTTCAGGTAGAGTAAATGAAGTTCCAAGTGGAAGTTGCCCTTGCTTGCGTCATAAGCTTGATCTGGATTCAGCAAAGCCTTTGTGGTTAGTAGTATTGATTTTCTTGTTATTGATATATTTATAAAAAAAGGTTATTGATATTGCAATTCCTTACTCTGGTGCATTGCATCGACAGGCTTCTGGAATCTTTATTTGGCTTATTTCCTTGCCTTGAAAACTGTAATTAAGCATGTTGATTTGTGATATGTGATACCTATACTTTTACAACAGCCAAATAAGCAGCAATTAGTGTTTCCCTTTTTACAGAGCTTGAGCTTTTCCATATTAGATAAGGTTATCCATGAAATTTCTTCATAGTATCATTATTGTTTAAATAATATCTGTGAATTTTATTTTCTGTTTATTGTGGCAGATGAGGTTTCCAGTACTTCTAATGCAACAGACTGGACATGCAGATGCTCTTTGTCATATCAAGGAAACCAGAGCTACACTCTAGAACCTTACTGTTCAGCATCCTGTAATTGCAGTCAGGGTATGCCGCTGATCTTTATGGTATAATTACCCAAAATCTTTCCACTTCTTTTGATATAACATTTCTGCTGATAAACGTTTAACAAATTGTTCATTCTGTCATCTCTTTATGTCTGTCTGTGTTTAATGCTCATGAATGCACTTTCATATTTTTTTTTATTTTAAAAAAATACTAATTTTTATGTATATAGAAGATTCTTCAGATGTTGTTCAAATTGAAAGAATAAGGGCTTTGAAGAACCAATGTATTTTTCCGCTCAATGTTTAGGTAGAATGTCTTTTGAAGCTGATTTCATAATCAAGAAATACTTTAAATCCTTGCATGTTGCAAGTTCATTGTGTTGATTAAGAAAGATCCTTTTTCTTTCCCCAGTTGGTCTATTCTTATATACCTGCTTTTTTTGTGATGAGGATGACCTTATATGGTATAGGACATGCTAAAATGAATTTGCTTCTGATATAGATGCTGGAAGTAGTACTAGATGGACGTGTATATGTGCTGCTGATCAGCTTCCTAAAGTGGCTGCTGACAGTCATGATACTAACTGTTTTACAGCCTGCAATTGCACTTATGGTACTCTCTCTCTCTCTCTCTCTCTCTCTCTCTCTCTCTCTAGCACACGTACACACACTCACACCCACAAATGTTTCTTTTAAATAACTCTATAATTATAAGTTGTCACCTTACCAAAAAAATTAAACATAATTTTATTTCAACTGATACTCTTTACAGAGAATAATGGTAAATCATGCTATTCTTTAAAAGCTGATTGCTTTTTGTGACCATGGATTTTGGATTACCGTGAGAATCCCATTGACGCACATCCCATGTTTTGCTATATCTCTGACTTATTTATTGATGCACCCATAGCTTGTTTTAAATAGAAAGAAATCACTCCAGATATTCTTGTTTACACACATCCCCACGTTTTGCTATATCTTTTTGACTTGTAAGTATTGATGCGCCAATAATATGTTCCGTATAGACATTGCTTGTTTATCTGAAGTCATTTGATTGTTCTGCCTTTTTATTGCTTCTTAACAGGATCTCTCAATGCAGCAAAATCTTCAAAAAACCACATTCCAAGCAAAGTTGTTGTGATTATTCTTTTGGTATGTGTCATACTGACAACTCTTGCTTTTCTTGCCTCGGTGGCATGCTACTTCTGTCGAAGGAACAAGTGCCCTATTCAACCACCATTATTTTCATCAGACAAGGAAACTAGTTGCAACAGTGCTACCAACTTAATTAGCCATAAGAGTACCTCAGTGTTTGAGACCAAAATTAATATGGATTCGCCCATCAATAAAGGTACAGGTAATTTAATCTAAGGATTTTTTTTTTTTTTTAACGAAGCGTGTTTTCTTAATCTTTATATGTCTGTTCATCTTTTGACCAAAAGAAAAGAACAATATACCTGTTAATTTCTTAATTCATACCTTTAAACCTGATCTGCTTTTTATTTGTATATTTTTCTTTGCGTTTCTCCCAATATGTGCTTTTAGTTTTCTCCATATTGAGCTTTGGCACAGGAACTACTGTAACTATTCTGTTTCCATTCACAGGGTGCTTTACCTCTTGCTTATTTAAGAGCAAAATACGAGCTACACCTGGAGCAATTATTCAATTTTCGTACTTTGAACTGGAAAGTGCTACCGATAAGTTTTCAAATTCCAATCTAATAGGACTTGGTGGAAGTAGCTATGTCTATCGTGGTCAGCTCAAAGGTGGCAGAATCGTGGCAGTTAAGCGTCTAAAGGCTCAGCAAGGGCCTGATTCGGACTCTGTCTTTATAACAGAGGTAATACCTCATCCTGCAGTGAGTTTGCCGGAATATATCAAGATCCTGTTGGTTTCTTAATAGAAGAAATAAGTTTACTAATCTGTTCTTTTCCTCAGATTGAAATGTTATCCAGACTTCATCATTATCATGTGGTGCCTTTGCTTGGCTACTGCTTTGAAACCCATGGAAAAAATGCTGAGAGACTATTGGTATTTGAATACATGAATAATGGTAACCTGAGAGATTGTTTGGATGGAGATGCGGGAAAAAACATGGATTGGGGTACTCGAGTTGCAATTGCCATTGGAGCTGCAAGGGGTTTGGAATATCTCCATGAAGCAGCTGCTCCAAGAATTCTACATAGAGATGTCAAATCCACAAACATTCTTCTGGATGAAAATTGGCAAGCAAAAGTAAGATTAGATTATTTGAGACTTCCATTGAAATCCTCAATTCTATGAAGAAAGAAGAGGAAGAAATATATACTGGCAATGGATTTAGCTACAAACACAGTTTAATTTGCTGTTAGGAACTCAAAAGATAAGTCTAATTTTGTAGTGCATATTTGGCACACATCTCTTATATTTTAAAGTACTTTTATATGTACTGTGCAGATAACTGATCTTGGTATGGCAAAACGCTTGAAAGCCGATGGTCTCCCTAGCGCTTCTAGTTCTCCAGCAAGAATGCAGGGGACTTTTGGTTATTTTGCACCAGAGTATGCGATTGTTGGAAGAGCTTCTCTTAAGTCAGATGTTTTCAGTTTTGGTGTAGTTCTTCTTGAGCTTATCACTGGTCGGAAGCCCATTCACAAATCAAGCAGCAAGGGAGAAGAAAGCCTTGTCATATGGGTAAGGAACCTTTTACCATCATGCATGTTGTTGCACAGAAGTTTTCCTTTTATTACCAAAAGGCTTAATTTCCCAAATGCACTTTGCATGTTTGCTAAGTTTCAAGGGTGGCCCCCTACAACTTGAGGCCCTAGGAAAAAAGTACATATGGTGCCCTGTAGATTTTGAATAACTAATATAAATATTAACATGAATCAGTTCAAGAAAAAATCGATGGGGTAATAAAAATATAAAAATTGATGTAGCATTTTTATCTTTGTTTTAGGCTACACCTCGTTTACTGGATAGCAGGCGAGTAATCACAGAGTTGGCCGATCCAGATCTGGCTGGAAACTTCCCAGAAGAAGAGATGCAGATAATGGCTTTCTTAGCAAAAGAATGCCTACTGTTGGATCCTGATGCTAGACCAAACATGAGTGAGGTCGTCCAAATCCTGTCAACTATCGTCCCAGAGAGATCTAAAAGGAGAAACTTTCCTGTGAATCTTTTTCAGGTAATTATTTTTCATCAATCATGTCCTAATTTGTAGTACGTAGTACTCTGAGATTTTACACGTCTCTCTGGTTGATAAGTCATCCATTTTCTGCTGTAGTATTGTAAAAACCGTAGGAAGGTAAACTAATTTTCTCCTTTATCGGTTCTTTTACTTGTAATTACATTAAATCTAAATTTTGATAAATTAAAAAAGTGCATTTACTTGATCAGCAAACAGTCAACTTTTTAACTTTTCATGTGTCCTCTGGAGGTCATCTCCTCATAATGTACAATTTTAAACAATAAAAATAAAGACCTGATCTGAGTACTCATTCTGGACAGCACATGGGCACGGATGGTCATAAAGATGCTGAGGAACTAAGGCGAGCCAGATCCAGTAAAGGTTCAGTTCGGTGTTCACTGCCACTAGATATTGATCGTAATCTCTGCGCCGAAAGACGTACAGACACTGTTTCAGATAACTATATGGAGAGATTGATCCTCTTGACTTCAAACGCTAGGAGTTGGCGGGCCTCTGATGATGAGACAGTGGACTTAACGGAACCTAGGTTCGAGTCATTTTGCCTAGCAAATGCCAAGCCCCTATGACAAAAAACAAAAATACGCAACTTGAGTGAATCTAGCATTGGTAACATGAACATGGTACCAGCTTGTTTCAGATACTTCTTCGATATTGGTTGCTCAAAGAAGTCATGAGGAAGCAAGCAGGTTTGTGAAGACTTGTTCCTCTCTACAATTTTTTTCTTTGAAGAAGAAGAAGAAAAGGGAAGAAAAGGGAAGAAAAATCATAGGCTATTCTCTGATCGTACAAATTAGTTTGTTGTATTCATGTATGTTCTTTGGTTGTTGTACAGAACATAAATCATAGAAAATTATGTTAGAAGATGAAACGGATGGTATGCTGCTTGTAATTCCAGTCATGCAAAAGTATAGTTTTGGAAGTACCTTGGTTCAATTTACATTTATATAATCAGCAAGGTAGAGAAGAAAAACATGGAATGCTTGGCATAACAGTCAGCTCTGGTCACAATTTAATCATTCTTTTTCTCACATCAATAAGGTCAAACCCATACTTGCTCTCACATGGTCACTATAACATTTTTCTATGCCCATAATTATAGCAGTCTGGTCAAACATACTAAGCAATTAGATATGAGAGAAACACTGAAAACTAAAATGAGTGAAGGAACTCTTGTGACAGATTATGTATGGAAAATGATTTATCATTTGAACACTCTAAAGATCCTTGTAGCACAAATCTCTAATATGTCTCAATAAGACTGAAACTTTACTTCCTAGTCCCAAATTTAAAGGGAAATGCGAAGAGGAAAAGACTAGCAAGCACTTTACTTGTATTGCCAACCATTGATGCAAGTATGTCGCACTCCATTAATGGCCGAAAGTAGCAAGCACTCTACTTGTATTGCCAACCATTGATGCAAGTATGTCCCACTCCATTAATGGCTGAAAGTCACTCACATGCGTGGGCGACTGTTCCAGGCACTTCTCGATATATTTTTACAACTAATTGAATGCGAAAAATTGTGCCAATTTCCTTAAAGTTTTTAGCCTAGACTGGACGGTCTAATCCTAATTGCATAGGAATATTCTGTCGATCTGTGGTACAAGATCCACTGAAACTTGACTGATTTATCATGCATGTCCAAAAAAATGTTGTTAGTTTTAGTAAGTTCATCCATTAGCAAGGAGTAGTTTGTCCAGAGCACACTTAAACTTCCATGTGTTGTTAGTTGGGCAACATCATACAAAGCCTTGGAAGTTCCTTTGAATGGTTGTTGGGGGCTGTGTATGACTTGGGGATAGCTTGCTGTGTTGGATCACAGATATATATAAATGCACACTTTTCTTTAGACTAGTCCCCTCACCTGCCAATCACCTGCCAGAGATGGATCCGCCACCACCGCCTAACTCGCCGCTGCTGCCCCCAGCCCCGGCCCCGGCTCCTCCTCCCTATGATCAAGGAGGATGCTTAGAATTATTGTAAGACTTTTTCACTTCAATTTTCTGGAAGCTGAGCTTTGACAATCATATCTTCTTCTTTTTTTCTTGAATTTTCAATTTTAATTTGGTTCTCATTCTGCAGTTTGTGGATGCTGTGCTGCTGCGGTCTATGTAGATGCTGCTGCCCTCCACTCTTCGAGCCTGGTCCTCCTCCACCCTAGTGCTGCATTTTTATCTTCCTATTAAGCCCACTTTGTGTGGTCGTTTTGTGTGGGAGGTAAGAGTCTAGTATTTATTTGACATCGATATTCCAATTTGGCTAAATGGTCTTCTATGTTAGCACATTTATAGGTGTTCTTGAATATCTCTTTATTTTCTATGTCACTCCTGCAGTTTGTAACGTTGTAAATTGTATCATTGTTCCTGCTCAACTAGTGCCAACGATTATGCTTCTTCAGATGTCTTTTTCTACTATTTTTCATTTTTATCTTTTGGAAAAAGGAGAGTGGATGTTTTCTTTTTTTCCCCAGAAAATGGAAACACCGTCACATTTCCAGAAACAGACTTAATTTGGTGTATAAAAAATGAAATGTGTTATGACAGATAGGAAATTTGTTTGCAATAGTCTCGGCTAAAAGCCAGAAAAACCAAAAACGAAATAAAGAAATAAAAAATCAGCCCAATTGTCTTGGGCGAAAGCCAGAAGAACACCAAAAATTAGAAAAACAAACTATGAGCAGAAAAACACAGCCAAATGGTGTATGAAAAATGAAATGTGTGTTATGGCTGATAGGAAATTTATTTGTAATGCTCTTAGCTGCAAGGGCAGAACCAGAAATTTTTCGATGGGTGGGTTAGCTAAAAATTTAATGATATTTTTTAACCTATAATTTCTATATTATTTTTTTTTTAAGAAATAAAAGTATATATTAAATTATGTAAACTATGCTAGTTCATAGCCCTATAAACTAATTTTCAATAAATTTAGCGTAAAAAGAATACAAATTAAAAGCAACAAAAGGGTTAACACAAGAATAATGGGGAAAACCACAAAACATACTTTAGAAAAATAATATTTCTCTATTATTGAGTTTATTTATTAATTTTTTTGTTTGAAAATATGTCTTCATAGAAATAGTGGGGCAACCACCAAAAATACCACAAAACAAGGGCCCCAACCACAAGTAGAAATGGCAAGTTGGTGGGCTATATAGGTTTAATTTTGTTTTTCTTCAAAAACCTACATTGGCTACAATAGGTTAAAAAAAAGTTCTTCAAAAAGCTGCTTAGACTACAGCCTAGTGTAGCCTTGTATTGTATGTAGTTCCGCCCATGCTTGGCTGAAAGCCAAAAGAACAAAAAAATCAGGGACTCGGATTCTCTGCTTTGATTTTCTCTGTCATGATCTGCTTAACGTTTGTCTTCCACAGGCCACCTCATTAACATTTAATCTAAGGGACTTAAAAATTGACACATCATTCTTCAAATAAAAAAGAAAAACAATACCCTAACCTAGGGGTGGGCATCAATCCGGCCAAACCAAACCATAATTATCGGTTTGGTTTGGTTTTGACCAAGAAAAAGTCAAATGGTTTAAAAACCAAATCGGACCGTTTATGGTTTGATTTGGTTTTGAGCTTTTGTAAATCGGCTTAAACCAAACTGGACCGTTTATGTGTATATTTATTTATTTATATTTTATTTTACATGTGTAATACTCTAATTAGTTAATAACTATATATGAATATTTGAATTGAGCTATATTAGTTAGTGAAATATGAAGTTTTATGACATTTTGAGCTTTAGGATGGTTTCATACTCCAAAAAATGATTTATGTATGAAACAAGTTGTGAATTTGTTGGTTATAATTGGGCTAATAATGTTGAAAAAATACAAAAAGAAAGATAATTGGGCTTAGGCCCAAACTGGCTGAACCAAACCGTCTTAAATTGGTTTGGTTTGATTCGATTTCCTTTATAACTTTTATTCAAACTGAACCAAACCAAACTGTCATATTGTAATTGGTTCAGCCGTGGTTTTGAAGTGAAACCAATCCAATTCGGACTGTGTCCACCTTAGCAGCTCCCCCTTAGCTGCTCTTCTTCCTGCCTCTGCCCCCAAAATCTTACCTCTCACCAGGCTTTCGTTTCTCCAAAATTCTGTAATCACAATCCCTTTTCTTTCCTATATCAAAATAAAAAATATATATCTTTCCATATCCATTAATTCATGAAAATAACCATAACTCATCAGTCAGTAGACCTTACAGAACAATCCCAATATCTAGGTCTTGAAACATAATTCCTCTTTTATCCAGGAAAACAGCGAAAGAATTTTTTTTCCTTTTGATTTTGATTTTGTTCGGTGCTGGTTGGGTAGCTTCGCAGGTTAAAAAGGGGTTGTGCGTTGAGGCGTGGGTCTATAGACCTCCAATCGCCCTGCTGAGGTGGTCCAATTTCAATTTGAGATCAATGCTTTCCCAAAAATATAGTTTACTCCAATATCTCGATTGAGCCACGTTGCTCTGATATGCCATAAAGTATTTGGACAATAGTGGAATTATTTGTTAATACTAAGTTTTTATTGATGTATATTATATATAGGTCACAACAAATGTACACAAACCTCCATAAGAAAACAGATATCCAGATATCCATTAGAAAATATTTCCTACACAAGGTATTCATGAGTTTGAAAGATATCATAAACTTCTAACCCCAAAAAAAGTCACAGGAAATTTGTTCAAATACTAAAACTCACGAAGAGTTCTCATGAAGTTGGTTGCACGTTAATTAAGTAGGACATTAAAGTGATTGAATACAATGAAATTTAAGTTGAGATGGATAAGGTGATTGTCATCTGAAGCATTGCGTGTTTGCTAACGGCTAAAGATTGATGTATGGCCCTGTACAAAAAATTCAGATTAGTTTTTTTTTAATAAAAGGATTTGCATATAGAATTCCTTGGTGTCCCAATGACAAGCTTGGGTGCATATAGAATCCTTAAAAAGCAAACTACTAATTCTACACATGCATCATGTGGAGGCAATTATTAGTGGGAGAAAAAATAAGGGAAAAAATATGTGGGAGAAAAATATGGGTGAATTTATTTATTTATATTTAGTGTTACTTATTTATTTTTCTTTTTTTATAAATTTGATATACAAGTGTAATTATGAATATAATTGAAAATTTTATTTAAAAAATGATGACGAGCTTTTAGATTATATAGTCCAATGGGCCTTCCATAAAAGCCCAAAATAAAACAAACACGTGGCAAAGCTTCTCTCGGTCCGATCCATTTATCACGAGACCACAAGTATCCGAAACGCACCGTATAGGAGGGGCAAGGACAAGGAAGGACACGGAAAAGCTCGAAGCAGCAGCCAGCCAGCACACACACAGAGAAGAAGAAGAGGGACTTTCGATAGTCGCCGCCATGGCCGGAAAAGGTGGAGCAGCTCCGAGCACGTACTCTCCGTCTCCGACGACCCAGAAAACCAAATCACGCATCTTCGGAAACGACGACGTCGATTGGGTTCGATCCGATGGCCGTGAATTCCACCAATGCAGACCTGCCTGTAAGTTTTTTCTTCTGTTCAGCTAATACAAATTTCATATCTTTACCCTTGTTTTTCATTGTGTGTGTGTGTGTTTTTTTTGTGGGTTGGTTTTAATTTGATGTTCTGCAGAATGTGGTTTCTATTGCTTATGTATGTCAAAAATGGAGTAATTCAATTGGTTAATCAGCTCAAGTGAGATTTTTGCTCTTGTTTCTCGTCTTATACTGTAATGTGGCAAGTGGGCTTTCAATATTTTCATTGTTGGGTGCAAAGAACTGTGCTTTGATGCAATTGCTTTTGGTCTCTTTAGTGAATGCATGAATGTGTTTTAGTTTGATTTAAACTTCATCAACCGTATAAAGCTTAATTTCTTACAAATTACTATATAACGCTTGATGTTGTTTGGCTTTCATTACTCTGTTATATTGGTTGGTATGGTTGGAATATCCATTTCCGTTAATGAATATATGGGGCTCAAAAAACAATTTCGTTCTATAATCAAATTCACTTGTACTCATTTAAAGCACATCTATGAATGTATGCTTCCTTGCGCCCAATGACATGCCATTTTTTTATGTTATGTGTATTCTGCCTGGTTTGGTTTATGTTATGCATGTCTATATGTTGTTCAAATCCTGAATTGAATTCCAATAATCTCTCTACTCTTAAGAACTATATACAGAATGTCAGTTTTTGATTCTGCCTTATCCATTCTGACCTAGAGATGGCCTGTCTAAACGTTTAAGCTGGTAGATGTTAAAAAATTAATGCTTATAGAAAATTCCAGGGGCTTGTACAGATCCTTGTTTTCATTTATAAATTCTCTTTATTGTAATTTCATTGTATGGTTACATCATGACTTTCATAAAATATACTCAAAAGTTTTGGGTTAATGACAGTTTTCAAGACTGGTGCTGTAAATGCTGCTGCAGGATCTGCTTATGCAGAGTTTGGAAATACCAAAGTCATTGTTTCTGTGTGAGTAAATCTTTTAGATGTTCGTACTCTCTCTCTCTAGTGTTCTTCTAACTGAATGTCTATCATGAAAATCCATGATCATGTCAAACATTATTGGTATTATTGATAGAGTTGCTTTTTCACTATTTTTAATTATTTTTATTTTAGTTATATATTGATTCAGGTAAGCTATATAATTTTGGATCCAAAGATATATGCAACGGAGCATGTTTTACATTTTATTTTTCTCGGTTGGTTTAGATTTGGGCCAAGAGAGAGTAAGAAGGCAATGATGTACAGTGATATAGGACGTTTAAATTGCAATGTCAGCTATACAACTTTTGCTACTCCAGTTCGTGGACAGGTATATGACCTTGTGTTGATGTATCTTCTGTACCAGTTTTCTTATTGAAATCATTGTAATTAATATTTGAACTCCCCTTTTTTAGGGGTCAGACCACAAAGAGTTTTCTTCAATGCTTCATAAAGCTTTGGAGGGTGCAATAATATTGGAAACTTTTCCAAAGACTACAGTGGATGTTTTTGCATTGGTGTTGGAATCTGGGGGCAGTAAGTTTTCAATTAGTTTTAAAATGCAAATTTCTTTTCTTTTCAGCTGTTGCAAGAAGGAAATAGAATGAAGAAAAGGAAAGACCAGAAATGGCAGAGAAGGGAATTTAAATTGGAACAAATAGATTATTTTCCTGCTATTTGAATGTGGATGCTTTTGTTCAGTGCTGCTGCTTCCAGAGATGATGTTAACAAATCTTGTACAAGAATTTTGCCACTAACAAAAAACTTAAATACAAAGGTGCTGTGTTTGTCCGTGACTTCCTTGGACTCAAGTTGGCACACTACGGATTTGTTCTTAGGGTAGAATTTTAATGTTGGTTTCGGTGAGAGATAATTATCTCTTACTTAGCTGACATGTAATGGACACAATGAGTTACAGAACTTTCTTTGTGTGAGAAAGAGTGGGATACTGCGAGCAGTAAACTTGATCATAACCAATTATAGTAAACAGATAAATCACTTTTGGAATAGAAGGGAGATATAAGGATTGATTTTAATGTTATAGTCTTATTTGGTGCATTTGTGCCTTCGATTATTATTTTTATTTGTACCATATAATTCCTGATATATTTAAGTGAATGCAAGACAATAATAATGCTTTTGTGCATGTTGATGAGTTTTTTCATTTTTGTTGCAGGTGATCTTCCTGTAGTGATATCATGTGCTAGCCTTGCCCTAGCAGATGCAGGGATAATGATGTATGACCTTGTTACCTCAGTTTCTGTGGTATGCTTCGACTTTTCAACTCTCTAGATAATCAAGCTTAAAGCAAGAATTTTGGTTATTCTATCTCTTACCTTGTTTCAAGTTTTCCTTTACCTTTTTTTCAAAATAAAATAAAATAAAAACTTGTCATGCAAACGTGATGTTTGTGTTCGAAAGGCCCAGTTCAGAATAGGCAGAGAATTGAGACTTCGAAAACTTGATCACATGATGCTGTACATAACACAAAATCTGATTGTTGATCATCATATTGTATTTGTTCCGTTCTTTTGGGTAGTCGACTAAATGTCAAGTTTACTGATTAGTTGTCTCTATTTTGTCTTTTATTCTCACATAGTACTGTAAGCTTTTATTTTAGAGAAGAAATCTGATGATTAATTCATACTGCACTTTCTCCTTAAATATCCAATTGATAAGTATTGTGTGTGCATGCACACACCCATGTGAATGTATGTAGATCTGCCATTTTATCAAATATTTAACTTATTAATTGTTGTAAATTAAATACCATAACCATATTAACATTTATTTCATGGTTTCGTGGAACATCTTGCTTCTTTTCGGTACTGCATAGTTTAAAGTCTGGTAAACTCTCTCTTTAAACTCATTGCTTGTAAGAAAGATAGTTGCCATTTAAATGTTTATAGCATAGGGGCAGTTAGTTGTACATTCTACTATCAGCTATCATTTAGCACAAATTTGTGGAAGTTCTATAGGTTTGTCTTCTTTAGATTTACAAACAAATTTGTGTGCCGTAGTGACTTCCATGTCAAAGTTGTTTCATTTCATTTTCAATTTTTTCATTCATTTATCACATTTGTGGTCGTGTCTAGTCTGGTCTCGGAAAGAACCTTGTCATTGATCCTATTTTGGAGGAGGAAAGCTATCAAGATGGAAGCCTAATGCTTACTTGTATGCCTTCTCGCTACGAGGTCACTCAGCTAACTATTACTGGGGAATGGTCAACCCCAAAAATTAATGAGGTATGACAGTCAGCCGATTTGTTCCTTGAAATATTGTATGTTGTTCATCAAAGAATGTTATCTACCTTTTGACTATAATGTCTACGTACGAGAATGCCAAAAAAAAGAGTAGGATTCCACAATAACTCTGATTTTGATATGGTTCGGATGAGGCTTGTGATACTAACATAGTTTTTACGAGCAGGGAATGCAAATATGCTTGGATGCCTGCTCAAAACTTGCAGTGGTCATGAGGGCGTGCTTGAAAGGACCTGATTCTACCTTAGAAGAAGAATAGGATAAAAGTTTTGTCTACTTGTACATGATAAAGACTTTAACATTTGATTATTTTTCTTCTCAATTATCGTCTTCTCCAATATCAAGATTGAGTCCCATTAGTTTGATGTGCTATAATGTTCTTGGACAATAGTGAAATTGTTTGTTATGGTTAATCACCAATTTTCAGATTAGAAGGTATTACAATTTTGGCATATCAAATTGTTTCAATAAAATAAAAGAAAATTTAAAAATACGAAAGGGGAGTTTTTACAGCTCCATGATCAGTTGCCGTGAAAGTTATATTTTGAATACCTTGTAATTATCATCAAAGTCTGCAGAGTTGAAGATTTAACAATGTTTTTTTCTTCTTAATCATAATACTCAATTGTTTTTCTTCTTAATCATAGTTTTCTCCAATATCTTAATTCATTCCCATCACTTTGATATGTTATAATGTTTTGAGACAATAGTGAAATCATTTTTTAATACTAATTCTACTGATTTATAGGTCACATCATGTATAAAGAAAACAAACTAAATTTGGATGATGCGATGTGCACAATAAAAACATTTTCTACATAAACTATTCATGCGCTTGAAAATTATCACAAAATTCTAATCAGAAAAGAGGACACAAGAAATTTATTCAAAAACTGAAACCAGGTTTGAAAACCCACAAAGATGAAATTCGTTGGTATTTCCAGCACTGGTTCCCGAAAACAAAATTTTAGACAACCATAAAGATTGAGGATCAATTTTGATGTGATAATAATCTATTAATTATTGTTTTGTTAGAAGTTTGACATTTGCTGTGATCATCTTGATATGTTGTCGATGGTGTCGATATTGCCCATTTATCAGCATGAAATAGTCCCAGATAATCTTGATATCAATAAAGTATCAATATTTTCTTGGTTTGCTAAGGTGGTAGTCTTATTTGTATACATTGTTACAATATCATGCTATTTGAAAACATTTACTTAATTTTTTACCCATAACTTTAATTATTATACACATGTTTTGTAACACCTTAAAATGAATTGAATGGCCTATACAAATAATGAAAAATAAAAGAAAACCTGCATGCCATGCAAAACCATGCAGTCAGGAGAGTATTTGCTTAAATTAATTTGGATAAAACTATAAAGACAAAAAATAGACAATCAAGTGGATATGGGCTTAGCCAAGTTGGTTAGAGCGAATGTGCTTCTCACTTTGCACCAGAGTTCGAATTCCCCTCCCCATAGTTTAGATTAAATAAAAGTAGAATATCGTTTTTATATAAATAAATAAATTAAAATAAAATAAAAAAAAGACAAGCAAATGGTAAAAAATTGAGACGTGGGTGTCCATAGAACAAGCTTGGGTGCATTCACGTAGTCTAATGGGCCTTCACTAAAAACCCACAATAAAAATACACAATGGGCCATATACGCGAAAGTGCAAGATTCTTAGTCCGGCCTAAAACGCACCGTCTAGAGCGAGAAGGACAAGATCCTGGAAAATCTCGAAGCAGCGAGCAGAGCACACAGACAAAAGAGAGGGAATTTTGATTGTCGCCGCCAATGGCCGGGAAAGGTGGAGCAACTCCGAGCACGTACTCGCCGTCTCCGACGACCCAGAAGACTAAATCACTAAGCTTTGGAAACGACGAAGTTCTCCGACCCGATGACCGTGAATGGCACCAATGCAGACCTGCCTGTAAGCCTTTTTTTTTTTTTTTCCTCTTAATCTATTATAAATTTCCTTTCTTTACTCTTGTTCTTCTTTTTGGGGTTCAATTCTTTCGTTTTTTTTTTTCTGTGGGTTGGTTGTAATTTGATGATGTACGGAATGTGGTTTCTGTTGCTTTTGCATGTCAACTACTCAATTGGTTAACCAGCTCAAGTGAGATTTTTCCTGTTGTTTCTGGTCTTATATTCTAATGTGTCAAGTGGGTTTTCAATGTTTTCATTGTTGAGTATTCTTTTGGTTGCAAAAAACTGTGCTTTGCTGCATTCGCTTTTGGTCTCGTTACTGAACCAGTCACAAACACAAGCGTCGAATGCGTTTTAGTTTGGACTCCTGCAATATACTGCTTGGTGTTGTTGAGTTTTCATGAACGTGTTTTTGTTCTGTAATAAATTGTACTTGTACTCATTTAAGGCACATATATGGATGTATGTTGCCTACCCACAAAGCCAAGCCATGCCATTTTTTTTTATGAGTTAATGGTTTATGTTATGTGATTTTGATGTTCTTGGGTAAACCTATTACAAGCTTATGTATAGTCTACTTGAATCATGTGGATTAGGGGAGAAAGAGAAATAGTAATGTGTGTTTGGAGTTAGAAATCGTGCTTTCAATATGCTAAAAATGATGTTGAACAACCTTCTTTTGTAGCATGGCCTTTCGATTTCCAATGCATGCCTATATGTTGTCCAAAACTTATATTGAATTCTAGGATATGAGCTCTTTACAGAAATGAGGTTTTGGACCTTGTTCATGCTGCCTTATACATTCTAACCTAAACTTTTAAGCTGGTTAACCTGGTTGATGTTCAAAAAATGATGCTTGCAGACATGTCAACGGGATTGTAGAGATCCTTGCTTTGATTTATAATTTTTTACTGGCTGTAATGCCATTGTATGATTACATTATGGCTTTCATAAAGAAAAACTCAAGGTTGTGTTAACGACAGTTTTCCAGATTGGTGTTGTAGCTGCTGCTGCCGGATCTGCTTATGCAGATTTTGGAAGCACCAAGGTCATTGTTTCTGTGTGAGTGTATCTTTTTGAAATTCGTACTCTCTCTGACTTCTAGTTCTTCTAAGGGAATGTCTATCATAAATCCATGACCATGGCGGCCATTCTTGTTATTATTGATAGAGTTGCTTTTTCACTGTTTGCACTCTTTTTTGTTGTTATATATTCAAGTAATACCCTATAATTTTGGATGCAAAGATATATGCAACAACACATGCTTTACATTTTATTTGTCTTGGTTGGTTTAGATTTGGGCCAAGAGAGAGTGAGAAGGCAATGATGTACAGTGATATAGGACGTTTAAATTGCACTGTCAGCTATACAACTTTTGCTACCCCAGTTCGCGGACAGGTATATGACCTTGTGCTAATGTACCTCCTATCCTTCTTTTTAATCACGTTTCTTATTGAAATCCTTGTAACTAATATTTGAACTCCCCTCTTTTAGGGGTTGGACCACAAAGAGTTTTCTTCAATGCTTCATAAAGCTTTGGAGGGTGCAATAATATCGGAAACTTTCCCCAAGACTACTGTGGATGTTTTTGCATTGGTGTTGGAATCTGGGGGCAGTAAGTATTCAATTAGTTTTAACATGTAAACTTCTGTTCTTTCTGGTATTGCTAGTTTAGGTCAAGAAGGAAATAGAATGAAGAAAAGGAAAGACCAGAAATACAGAAGAGACAATTTAAATTAGAACAATTAAGACTACACTCCTTCTATGTCAATGTATATGTTTGTGTTCAAATGTTGCTGCTTCCAGTGAATGTGTACCGCACTTCATTTAGATTTCTATAACATACAAGAATCTATCTACTAACAAGACACATTAATACAAAGGTACTGCATTTGTCCATGACTCACGGTGTTCACACAGGCACCTTTTTGGGGTATTTCTTGGACCCATGTTTGGCCCAGTAAGGGTTTGTTCTTTGGGGAAAATTTAATTGTTGGACAATTACCTGTTACTTAGCTCACATGCTGATATGTAATTGACACTTAATTAGTCACATAACTTTCTTTGTGTTGAGATGAGTGTGATAATGTAGTTATATAGAAAAAGATGTATAATTGATCATGAGCAATTGTAGTAATAGAGAAGTCCTTTTGGGAGTAGAAGGGAGATATAAGGATGATTTTGATGTTGTAGAAGTATTTGTGCAATTATGCTATTGATTAATTCATTGTCTTTGTTTGTGGAGGGGCGGAAATAGAATGAAGGAAAGTTTTAAATTTTTTTTTTTGACAGAGTAGGGAATTCCAATTGAAAAAAATACATTATTCACCTGCTATGTCAAAGTGTATGTCTTTGTTCAAGTGGTGCTGCTTTCAGTGATTGTGTTAACTACTTTTCGCTTCGATTTTCTCCTGTGTACAAGAATCTGGCCACTAACAAGACACTTAAATTCAAAGGTGCTGCATTTTTCTATTACTCATGATGTCCACTGAGACATTTTTGGTATTCCTTGGACTCAAGTTTTGTGCACCGTAGATTTGTTCTTGGGGGAAAATTTGAATGTTGGACCATC